TCTACCTGTTTTCAATGGCTATTCTTGCTTCTTCCATATGACTGGGTTCCCTCAAACTCCTCAGCAGTCCAGCTTATCATGATAATCATCAAAAAAAACATATCCATATGACTAGGTTCTTCTTCAATATTTGTGTCATTGCGGTCTTTCATCCTTTCAACTTGGTATGACCCGTGTGCGCGGCTGTGGGCTCGTCTGCACTCGACTTTTTTTTTAGTAATACCACCCGAATAGAGCGGGCATGGAAATTGTAGTATAGGTTATGGCATGGAACGCATGACCGCTGATTCTGCCAGTTACAGCCTGTGCCAAATCAACCCAGTCACAGAACGGATATGTTTGGAAGCAAAAGATATGATTCTAGCGATGTTAGAAACTCTAAACGACCGACTGTTTCCTAATATGCGCTCCAACGTCAGTAGAACTTTATCATGCAGCCATATATTCACGTTATGTGATGATTAGTAAGTTTCAATATCACAATTAGTGATATTTTTCTTTTTTTTATATAATATCTTTCAGTGATATGAATGGAAGAAAGCTCAACAAAAATGAGTGGAGCTGTAAGAGCTGTGAAAGCATATTATATGGTGGGATAGAGGTTTGTTGACGCTCAGTGATTGGTTCATACCAGAGCATTTTCAGGTGTTTAAAGCTCCTCTTAAGAAGATCAACGAGGCCGCGGCCACATACCTTTGTGGGGATTCCCCAGAATGCCGAACACAAGTGGCTCAAGTGTTCCACATTGGCGGTGTTTTGGGGGATGTCCTCAGGGAACAGGTAATTTGACAATACATTTAATGATTGTTATTTTTGTACTTTTTCAGAGAGACATAGAAGAGGTATGCCGCAGCGTTATGGGCTGCAGATAATACTACAACTGCCTTTTGCTTCTTCTCACGTTGTAACATGCTTCTCCTCTTCACACATATTTCAGCAGGTTCTAATACGTTTTATCCCAATCAACTGAATTCATCCATTCCTTGTCTGATTATAACTAGCATGGTGTTTATGCTATCGCTTTTGGAAATCATTTGCATATTTTTGTAAACAATAAGTTTATTAAAGTGTTTCAAATAGTTTAACAACATCAACATATGGACTATCTTCAAAGACTTTCATTATTCCCATAGCACTCATCCCTCGCACGAAGCATTTTGGAAATCGCATCGTTGAATTTAGGATAAATGTGGTTATTATACTCGAAGATGATATCATCAACTAGTTTTCTGTCTATTTTTCCTCCTAGGTTAACTTGAAGAACTTCTTGGAATTTACGCTTACAAATAGTGCGAATAGCCGGAAAGCGGTTGTCCAAGAACACGACAGCAGGAGGCAAATTTTTCTCAAAAAAGAATAAGCTATCGAGACTTCTATTTATGCTGCGTTCCTTCAAATCAAAGTATTCCTCTACGGTGTAGGCGGATTTGAGCTCGTCTGCACTCGGCTTCTCATACTTTGTCCAAGGTCCAGGGGGAGAAAAACCAAGAGCAGCGCGCATTTCAGTATTCGCAATTAGATCTACCGCTTCGGTGATCAAAAGATAATTGAAACCTGCCACGTGGATGTGTTTCATGAAATTGCCCGACAGTTGCTCGTGATCTGCATGAGTCAGACATGAGGTGGCAATCTTGGCCAGCTCTTCGTCCATGTTGAATGGTGAGGATGGTGTAGTCGGGAACGCGTCGACACGTGTACTGTCTACTGGAGGAGCTGTCGTTGATATATTGGCACTGCTGGTGCTGCCTGAAAGATACGATTGTATGTATGTATTCATGTAGACACCTATTTCATCATCTGTGTAAGCATCTATTCTAACTATCAAGGAGATCATACCTGTATGTAAATAGGTCGCAAGACAGAGACAAATGGCGAGTATCTTCCTCATATGCAGCTGAAAATATGAAGTATAAAATAATGCATTTACGTGAGAGAAATAGATGTAAATAGCTGAGCGAGATCAATCCAAAGTGAGAATGCAAAAACAGAAGAAAAGCGAGAAGTTTTGAATAAAAAAACCGAAAAATTTCTACAATAATCACCTGTGATGTCAAAATATATAATGGTTTAGTAACTGCCACCAGATTGGAACTGAGTAAGGAAGAGAGAAGGCGGTCACTCAATTGACCTATATCTCGCTTACAATCCCACTCATCCGTCTTCAAGAATGATTGACTGATTAATGATAGCCATCGCCCCTGAAACATAATGGGATCAAAACTGATAGGAGAAAAGGATCATTTAAGTAACAGTAATAAGTAATTTGAATGAGAAGTAACAAAATGATTTGCTTTTCGGACAACCAATTTGAAAACATAAATGCCCTAAGGGAAAACAGTCCTGTTCGGACAGGTTCCTTTGATGATTATCATGATAAGCTGGACTGCTGAGGAGTTTGAGGGAACCCAGTCATAT